CGCAGAAAGATGAGAATCTCACTCTATCCTGTTGGCAAACTGGGCTTTGTAGTCAGCGACTGGGCTTATTAGCCGGCGGATTTCGCTATGTAAAATTCTGTCCCAAGGTGATGGGCTTATAAGCCGGCGGATTTTGCTATGTAAAATTCCGTCCCAAGCTGACCTCGGGCTTAATACGCGGCTGGGCCTACTAACCGTGGGCTTAATAACCGGCGACTACTCTAATAGCTAAAAGCTCGGACTAATAGGCGGCTGGGCCTATTAACCGTGGGCTTAATAACCGGCGACTACTGTGATACGCGGCTGGGCCTATTAACCGTGGGCTTAATAACCGGCGACTACTGTATTGCCAAATAATCAGGAAGTAGGCAATTAATGTGTTAATTATTTAAATGGACCAATTATGGGATAATGGATAGATGTAAATCACACCGAGCATGTTTATTTATTAACAGCCAGACTGAAACATGATTTTAATCAGTACGTTCTGTGGGGTGTTTAGACGAAGTCTGGTCCCATCATATTAACGCGTCTCAGGCGTTAGGAGTACTCGTCAAGACTATACAAAATAAAGGTGGCGAGTACACAACGATTTGAGTATCCCAGGACACAATTGCCATACTTATGAGAATTAGTAGCTCCCGCTTTCGTCGCAGATGGTCGTACTTGTTGCGATAACAGCTTGCTCACCTACAACACAGTCGTTAATTTTTGCGATTTCATCACGCGTATTGATAATTATTGTGATGATTAATCAGTCGTTTGAGGCATGAGCACTGGCACTCGCACGCCTCCACGCGACTCAATACTCTCGTCAAGCAAAATCACACTACGAACATGTACTGGGTGGTTCATTGACCCTGCGAACCGGAGCACCACGGTTCGACACCCATGCGGTTGGACCCCTTTTACTAAAATTCTGGTCTTGTAGTTGAGGCCGCGCCCCTACGCGAATGGAAACTGTGTTTTCATGAAATATTTATTCATATTATACCTAGTTATCCTGCTGGGCAGAATAATTTACCCGCGTTTTCTTTCTACGCAAACGTTTGCCATAGTTTAACCGCTGCATTTGACAACGAGTTCTGGGTTTATTTTGAAAGAGGATTTGGTTGAAACTAAATTGTGTTCTGAAGCTGGAACCTGTCTTTATTCTCAGACTCCGCTGTTAATTAAAGCCTGTCTCAAAAGCATTTTTCTGCTAGTTTTTTGTCTCTTGAAAAGTGATACTATCACAACATAGCTGCTTTCTTCTGGTAAAGAGTTTATTATCTCTTGTATACCCTTCAAACTAAGTGAGCAGTTGCGATTCCTAGCATAAAGTCTGCGTCATAATTCTGCTTCGAACTGCGGTCCTAACAAACCTGATTTTTGCACTGGAAACTGTAAAAAGCTTTTTATTTTATTTTACTGGTGTTGCACATTCACATGTTAAATGCATACCCTAGGTCATAATTGAACACGTCAAGTCGTGGAACAATCTAGTACCCTACAGACCAACCCTCGAGAATGAAGACGGTAGCAGCGCTGAGCTGGTGAAGTTGATCTCCGAGGCGTGGGACGAAAATCCCGACGTCAGGCCAGAGTTCACTACCATCAAGGTGTCAATGCGGAAACTGAATAAGTAAGTTTTTTTGGAGCGAATCTGTCTTATCTTAACCACATTTCCATCTTTATGTCAGGCTGCTAGAAACCTTAAAACCGTTAGGTCAGCTGACTTCACTTTTTGTATATTTTTAATAACTCAGACCTTGTAGCGTTCTACCGATATAGACGAAAATATGATCATTGCTTTAATGTTCAAAATGCGCGGAACCTGCCATTGAAAAGTGCGTGTAATGGAGCTATTGCTTGCGTTTTTGCGACCTTCAGAATCGGAGGACGATAAGAAGTTCTACTTACACAGGCCTACATTTAGTCAAAGAGAATACTTCCGTGTATGTCCTTAAATTAGTACTTAGGGTGTTTTTAGTGAGGTTGTTCCAGCACGAATCCAGTGCAGTAGTTACTTGCGATAAGCAATCAGACGTGCTTTGCAGCTGCCACGACGCGTCAGTAGATGCGTCTTGGAAGGTTGCCAGCTGATGGGATTTAGCTTGGGATGAACTGCCTACCAGGGGATTCGTAACTTTACTTAACCGTGCTGCGCGTTGATTTGACTACTTCGTCTGGGCTACTTATTGCTTAATATTTTATAGCTTTTCTAATGCTGTATTATCATTTAACTGATTGGATAAACACCCAAATATCAAAATGTATGAAATGCAACCGAAACACCAATTACAAAACCCAATCTCCACCCGATTTTGTCTACGACTAAAACTGAACTGTACAACAAACTGCAAAACTAAGCTGTAAACTAAACTTGGAAACTAGACTGTTTACCGTAAACTAAACTGAAAACAAAATTGGAAACTAAACTATAAAACTGAACTATAAATTAAACTTTTTAACTACAAACTAAACTATAAAATGAAATACAGTCTAACCCAAACTATTAAAGTAAACTACCAACTAAACTGTAAACTAAAACCAAAACCCAGAAAAAAATATACTATTAAATTTAAACTAAACTGAAAGCTATAAACTATACATTGAACATTATTAAGAAAAAATAAAGTACGCCAAACAATCTACGATGTTATAATATATAATAATATAATACAATAATATAATATATTATATTATAATTAAAACAGCATGTAAACACAAGGACATGCTTCTCGAAGAAGTAGCAAAGAAACACACGGCACGTTGCGCACTCTCTGATAGGTAGTTCACCCCGTTTACCTTGGCTGTGCTCGTTACTAGGGGTCAGGGGGTAAGGATGACTTATGTGCCCCCCTAGACGAGACAGGAGAACAAGGGCCGCCCGCAGTAAGTACGTTTGCGCCAGAGTTAGGGGGGGGTTATATTTAAGATTAGGGCTACTGTTTAGGTTTATATTAGAATCAGTGTTAGGATTACGACGTGGGCAGATCTAACCTTGGATGAGGAAGAAGGGTTGTCGAGCACCAAATCGACTTTTTTTTATTATCCTTAGCTTTCGAAATCTTACGGGACTCCATCGTCAGATATCAGAACAGCAACAAAAAAGGGATTACTTATAGTGGGTGTACATCAATCAGCTGTCCGGGGTCGTCAGGTCGATGAAAAAAAGGAGGGGAGGGAGGATTAACTATAGAGGTATACGTTAATTAGCTGTCAGTGATGTCAAGGTTCGTCAGGGCGTCAGCAATGGAAATGGGGGTAATTATAGAGGATGTAGGCCAATTGACTGTGACGGACGTCTGGGCGTGACTGCACAAAGCTCT